TCATAAGTCACCTACCTTACAGTAGTCTGACTGGTTCATCGTTTGGTATAGAGCTTGTATGACGTACCTAGATTGCTCTGAGATCTTCGCTTTCGTCTGCCGGCCATGGCAATTCTCAGAGACTCCAATATCCCTTAAGTAAGGGATATTCCTTAAATCATTTGTGGGATCCCACTATAATTTAAAGTATATTCCTTGTTTGAAAGATATTGGAGTCTCTGTGTTCTGTTGGGATGCCACTCCTAGCTGCCGAAACGCAAATATCCATTGTCCCATGCCATGGCGTCTGCTCTGCACCTCACTGTGCCTCCAACACATAATAAGCCTTTATGGGCATGATCCGCAGGACATCATGGACCGATGGGAGACCCAGCACAAAAACCTCGCCACGGCGGGGCTGCCCAGCGAGTCTAGCAGGTTTTCGGCATTGTTCCGGGGTTCTCCCTAGCTAAAACCATCCGCACTTGCTGTTGGTCAGGCCTAATCAAAAACGAAGTAACCGTTGCTAGATTGGAAATCCTACGTAGACCCTCCTGAAGCCTCATGTTTCCACAGGGTCGCTAAATCCAGCAAGGTTTGGACAAATAGTCTCGCGCCACCGTGAAATGCGCGTTCGTCCCAGCCGTGTGGCACGCAAAAACAAGCTTCATGTTGCTCAGGGTGTGCTCACCACCATGACAATCAACGATGGGTGACAAGCGTTCTTGGAGGTGTGCAAACATTCATAAAGACTCACTGTCGAAAGATATGGTTGACAGCTGCTTTACTAGACTCAGAATAGGAGCACCGCCATCCCACGACACCATGTGCGTTCAATCGGGGACGGGTTTAGGCGACAGCTACGAGTTTTCGTGTGTCATCGCTTCAGGCTAGCTTTTCCCGTCTGTTTGCAGGGTGGAAAGTACATGGCTGAAATGCTGAATGTAGGATACGACGGCTCATCATCTCGAATTTCGGAAGAGGCATGGTGGGGTCTTCCGGCCGCTTGCAGGCCATCGAGGACTTCAAGAAAGACTGTGAGATGCATCCCTACACCAAGGACGACAGCTACAACGATTCCACCAGCAGTGGCGGAAGCATGAGAACAACGCTGAAATAGATACCACAGAACCTGCAACAATAGAGCGGCAGGAGCGGCAGGTCAGCAGCCTTAGTTGAACAAAGTTTTGATAAAAGCAGCAGCAGCCCAAGAGCGGCAGCGGCATCACCACCACCAACAGGACCAAAACTCAGATTACAGCGACTATGGGAACGGCAGTGGCGACAACAGCACCTGTTCGAGCAGTAGAATGCCGACCTTGAACACTACGAGCAGAAACATTTACATGAATACCAGCATCCGGAATGGTGAGGATGGTGAGGTTGGTCATGGGCGACAGAAAGATCTTGATGGCAGTCACCCCATTCTATGAATTCGATGCTGATGGCGGCGGCTGTATTTTGAAAATGCACGGTGAAGCATAAGATTGTGGGTCTGACGAAGTGTGTGTGTGTGTGTGTGTGTGTGTTTGTGTGTGTGTATAAGTATGTAAGTAAGTAAGTATGTATGTATGTACGCCTTTGGCAGCACATGTTCTCCAAATGTACCGGTCATGTGCTGTACTATTACGACATACATGTACATGTGCGTATATATAAATGTATGTGTGTATATATATACACACATACATATAATATGTGTATACGGTGTGTATATATATATATATATATACACATATAATATGTGTATACGGTGTGTACATACATATATATATATATATATATACATTTACTTTTATGCATGCATACATACATATATCTATAAACACAACACAGATCATTTTTAACATGGTTGTTTTCAACAGCCAACATGGCCGGCAGCTGCTGGCAAATACTGCCGATCAAGAATGTTCCTCAGGTGTTGGGGTGTACGGTGTAGGATTCAGGGCTTTCTGTCTGAAATCGAGACTGCAGTACTTGCCCTCCAGTATGCAGGATACAGTGTGTAATGTACAGCTTTAACTTCGACACGTGTGGCCATACACTCTGCAATATATTTGTAGATTCTCCCAAAACTATCGGACATAAGACCGGACATCTGGTATGCAGCAAGTTGCAACAGGCTTTACGTAACCATCCATACATTTGCTGGCTCATTATGCAAAAAACACCATGTCGATAGTCAAGCCTGGACATGCGAACACACGCATAGCTATATACATACATCTTATATATATATATATATACACACACGTACAGCACATACATCCAGAGAGAGAGAGGGAGAGATACACAGTACCTGCAGGAACATCTACCTCTATAGATAGAATATACATGTTTATATATATATATATACATATATATATACATATATATATATATATGACATATATATATATATATATATATATATATATGACATATATATATATATATATACACATGTGCACATACATATGTGTTTCTGTTGCGGTTCGAGCCTGTTTTGTCCCCACCCCTCGATGAGGGAGAACTTTGATGATGACGGGACACGGAAAGATCGAGAGGAACTGAAGAGCTTGAAAAAGACCAGAAACCCCGACCTCTACATTGTACACATGAAAACAGCAGGAGGGCCATCTTGCCAAGCTGCAGCTAGATGACCTCGTGGTCGGCTCAGTATCAAATTGTCGAAGGGCTTAGGCTTTCTCAGGGACGCGGCCGGGGTTTACATGTCAGGTCTGCTGGTTTCCGCATCATCTTGATTAGCTTGGCACCTTGCACTTGGGCACTTGGGTCGCTGGTGAAAAAGGCTGGGTGGAAGTAGTGGTGGTACTGGTAATAACTGTAATAAGAGTACCACTAGAATGATCATTCCTATCTGAGGAGGGGCAAATGCGTCAGCTTCTTGACGAGCTCGCCGAGAAGGCTCTTACTCTTCCACTTACGATTCCAAAAGCTCACAGATTAGGAGATGATTTAGGGCAAGTGTTTATGCAGTTACTATAGGGGCTTAAAAAAATTGCCTGTACTATTTTACTATTTTGGTGGTTCCTTATCATGATTATAGTATAATGGGCCCCAGAGCCCTATTGTAATTATTGTAATTATTAAGGCCCCTATATAATGGCCGTTCCGACCCAAGATCTCCTGTGCTTCAACCGTCCCTGAGCTCAAGTCGCAGGCTGGCATGCGGTGACCTCGGTTGCAAGCGTCGATTAAAACCCAGTGCCAAACCCAGTGTGGCTAGATTCTGATAGATGCCGCTGGCAAAGCAGTACGCTAGATGTACAGTGTAGTTTCGTGCCTGGGCTGAATTCTACAAAAGGCATAGATGCCTTTACACGATGTCGAGCAGGGTATCAGCCACCGTAAAACTGCTGGCCGTCAAGTCGCGCTGCAACGAACCTACTGCAGTTGCTAACAGATTACTTTCGATTCCACGGTTAGCCATCGGCACATGCTGATGCGACGAAGTTATTCAGACCCTGGCACAGTAGTTCAGTGAACTGCCCACATGTGGACGTCTTCGATGCATGAGACGCGATGAGTCAAAAAGTTATTTTTGGAACCGCCTCCAGCTGGTACTTAAAGGATCATGGGACTTAGTAACTGGGGTTATAAATAAGGTAACTATACTCATAACTATATACTGATAACCGATAACCCGTATCAAGGTACATATAACCTTACTTAGTACATGATCCTGCAAGTAGCACGAAGTGTTTCTGGGAGGTTGTGCAGGGTGGTGGTTGGCAGCAGCTTGTCAAGTTTTCCTGGTGGGTCATTGCTTGCAGCGGACCCTGCCACACTGTACTAGAACACAGTTTAAAACGCTACCAAATATTTTATATTGTTTCTATGCAGGTTATATATATATATATATATGTACGTATGTATATATATATATATGCACGCACACATTGTGGTGTACTGACCACAAGCACAATTTGCAGCTTCAGCTCGAGGCTCTGAGCCTTTAGAAAAGGAAGGTGAGACGCATTAGGGTTGAGGGTTTAGGGTCATGAACCGTCAAGCCCTAAACCTCTGTAGATCCTTTAAAGAACCCTTACAGGGAACCCTGAAGTAGAACCCAAGAGGACTCTTAACTGTCTTGGTTCTTAGTAGGGAATGTGAGAATGGATTATGGAGACTTTAAGGCTTAAAGGAATGGGCTATGAGACTATTATTGACTTAGCCCTGAATAACCTTCCTTTTTAGGGTTCCTTGTTATGACTTCTTGATATAAGTCCTTGAAGATGTAGGTTCTTCGGGGTTCAGGTGGGGATTATATAGGGACTACTAAAGGGATCCATCCCCCCAACTCCCTACTAAGCACCAGGGAGTAAGATAGAGCCCGGACGACTAAGATGCTACCCCGCAGTGTTCCTTGTTGTAGTCGTAGTATGTAGTGCCCACGAACTTGTTTGTTGCAGTTGCAGCACAATATATCCGAAAACCCTTAGTTGTTTAGCCCGTTTACACTATCCGAAAGCCATGGCACCGGCTGGCGTTCCGCCACCTTTCCACCCGACCTGGCTTTCCAAAAACAAGTTCCTTTGACGATGTTCTCAAGAATGCTCATCAGGCCATGTTCTTCTCCCAGGCTTCTAGAATCTTCCATGCTGAAAACGTCGAAGGGTGTACGAGTGCCAAGACTTGTTTGTGTCCGTAAGCACGGGCAACGCAGTCTCGGTCTCGTAGTCACCATGAACTGAAAGATCTGGTTTGGCCACGGGAGTCTGTCTCAGGGATGCGATCACCGTCAGATCCGAAGCCTCCTGGTTTGTAGATCAAACTCAAGAGCGGAAGATAGCCAATACTGCCGGACAGAAGATTTGCTTTTCCTTCAGAAGTCGCAAGCGCCAGCATTGAAGAAATTCCGACCCCGGCACCGCGCCCAGGCTGGTCGTCGTAGAAGCGGATCGTTTCGGTCACCTGGCATCTTCTGTTCAGGACGGCTATGAAGGAATACGGGTGCTGGCTTAGGACCCGCTAGTCCCTCCGTCGGAGTATCCGTGTATGTTATCTTGTGCTCAACAATGGCAGAGGGTGGAGTCGGCAGGGGCAAAGGGGACACATGCATTGACGCATCAGAATCGATCGAAGCACTGAGTCTACTTCGCTTGTTGGATGTTCAGCACTTCCAGGCGACACAGTCGAGTTGCTCTGAAGCCATGTTAGTCTGAACGGAAGGCCACGCACATGGATAAACATCCTGAAAAGACTGAAAAGACTTGCGCAATGTTACACCATTCGCCCAGAAGCCCTATCTTGACGACTCGACGCCCCAGGTGAGCAACCCCACATGTATGTGGTCGTTGGTCCGAAGAAGGCCAGAACTGGAAAGTCCTGGTTCAAGTCAAAGCGTGACAGGAGGCTCCCTCGGTGACGACGGCTTGTCGTGATCTGCATGAATAGAGTCCATGAGCCGATTGATCGCATGAAACCAAGCCCAAACCGCAACTACGCCAATACGAAGTATACGAAGCTTCGATACCGGTCAGAGCCACGACGGCAGCCCGTTCATGCGATCCATGTCGAATGACAGAAATGGGAGAATCATGTATACTACGCCCTATGCATTCTGCACGATACTGTTTCTGGAGAATACTACATGTTTGTACAATGATGACTCTTGCCAGTTATGTTCCTGGATACCCCAAAGACTGCTAGTTGTTTCCAGTTATGCTCGAACTACAAATGACACTATAATGATTACGCATACAACGTTTTAAATAATTAACTCTTATTCCGGTGACACTGCTACTGTTCTCCGACATCATTATGTATTGCGACTACCCGCCAGTTTTAGTAATGACATCGCGAATACTAAAACTACATCTCGCTATCGTTATCTCACTACCAGCAGTTTTTGCTTGTACGAAGGCCGTTGTGATCATTAGAGTAGAGCTCTCAGTTACCTTAGCACCTAAGAAGGCCTAAACACTAAACCCTTGCCTTGTGCGAGTGCGTGAGTCGTAACCCTAAACCCAGTCAGGCTTTGGTCATCGATACCGGCTGCGACACGGCCAACTTCTGCGACTTCCTCTGGAGCCTACCTGAGTTGGCAGAGAAGGAGTTTCAAGTTGCCGGGTGCTTAGAGAGCCCCCAAACACTACATTTTGGGTACTGCCTTCATACAGTAGCAGTCCATAGTAGGGCTAGTACTGAGGTCCGAATATATCTATATTACGAATATTATCCAACTGTTACTAGGTGGTGCCAGTATTCAAGAACTAAGCCCCTAAACCCTAAACCCCTATATCAAACCTAAGCCCCCAACCCTAAAGCATGGTATATGGTTTACATGACTCAGGGTTTTAGGAAGTTGAGGAAGAGCGGAAGTCGGCTCACTCATTAATAAGGGTTGTGAGGATTCTGGAACCTAGTTGGGACAGGGAGCCGTTGATGAGAGTTGCACTCGCAGCCTGGTGTTTGGGATGTATTTTTTTAAGGTGAGGTGGTCCTTCAGTATGTTGGGACGAACTTCTTACATCGTGCTCAGGTCAACACGCACATCCACTACGACCACATCATGGGAAATTATGGCTTCTGTGCTCCCGGTGGACGCTCTTTACGAGGGGGCTGTCGAAGTCCCTAGGCCGAGATCAGGTTGCCTCGCCCTCGCTTGCCCTGACGGTTTCCGTGAAGAGGTTTTCGACTTCCCATTCCTCTGGAGCACAGCATGAAGCAGAATCGCCCGGCTGGCCAAGGTATTTGTCAAGGCTCCCGGCAGCTGTGGTTGCATTAGCAAATAGTGCGCAATAGTTAGCCAGAAGGCACAGGTTTAGCGCAAGAACGCCCAACACTACATTTGGTCCTACCTTTGTCGAAGCTTCTGCAGGGGGGTTCAGTCAGACGATATGGGCAACATGGAATCCAAACAAGTAGACTAGACCTCCGACCACCAGCACCGTCAGGCTGCCGCCGCTTCCATCACCACAGGTGCCCGCAACAGCTCGCAACGATGGTGATGACAATCGCGGCAACAACTCTACTAGCGATGACCAGAACGACCACATCACAACAGTGTTAGTCATACGGATGACGGCAAATGCAGCATCGACGACAACAGCACAGGCAACCACGTGGACATGTTCAGCATGCGTACCGCCTGCCTGCCTCTCATTTCTTTTTCTCTCTCCCCCTTTCTCCTCTCTCTTTGTCTCTCTCTCTCTCTCTCTCTTTCTCTCTTTCTCTCTCTCTCTCTCTCTCTCTCTCTCTCTCTCTCTCTCTCTCTCTCTCTCTCTCTCTCTCCCTCTCTCTCTCTCTCTCTCTCTCTCTCTCTCTCTCTCTCTCTCTCTCTCTCTCTCTCTCTCTCTCTCTCTCCATCTGCATATATGTGTTTTCATGGATACGCACTTCGTGGAGTCTTCATGCATGAACCTTCCTTTGCATGTCACCGCGATGAGGTCACCTTTGTACTATGTCTCTGTCTGTCTGTCTGTCTGTATGTCTGTCTGTCTGTCTGTCTGTCTGTCTCTGTGTCTGTTTGCCTGTCTGCATGCATGTATGTATGTGTGTATGATGTATACCCTCTGAATCCCTTTGATCTTATTCGATGATGTCCCGCAACTTGCTTGTGGCAGACCGCCCAGGAATCGCCACTTCAGTCAAAACTGGCAGGAGCATCGGTTTGGGCTTTTCAGGGTCGAGTGTGAGAACATCAGAACCCTTTGGGGCTAGCCGAGGCCCTGGGACGTTTGACGATTCGGGATCAGAGATTACCTATAGTCTCCATTGCTATAGGTAGGGTTTCTAATCTAGGGGATCGTCTGCTTGCTTGCTCTTTCTCTCGATTCGACCACTTGCAAAGCCCAGTTTCGGGGCTTAGGCATTGGAGTCCTGAGGGATTGAGGTCTGTTGATTGCAGGAGACATCGCTGCAGAGCATGGTCGGTGCGGCGATCTCAAACTTCTGCGTAACAGAAGCTAGAGAAGCACCAGAGAACAGCTACGGCGTCCTCTGAAATCGAATCTTGAGTATTGGTTCCCTGAGACCCATGTCTGGGACACAGTGGATCAAGTTGGCCAACCTTTTGGGTTTCGGACACGGAAGAATTTGGAGCAGCAATTAGGAGTGTACGCAGTCTTGCAAAAACCCGTTACATTAGTGCTTGTGGGCGCAGCTATTTCATATCACATCAGGCATGGAACTATAGAGGTGGCGACAGAGTGCCGTGGAGTGTTGTCAGTGTTGTATCCGTTTTTTCTAAGGACTGGCTGGATGAGGGTCAGAGAATTTATTTGGACGATGAGACGCTGAGATGCAAGGTGAGCGAGCTTCTACTTCCGTCCGCAACTAAACAGCCAAACACTCCGCAGGGCCATAGGCGAGCCTGAGTGCCAGCAGAAAAGCATTGATACTTAGCGTTCTGGGTGCCGTGTGGTGTGAGGGCTTGGTGCCTTGCTGTTGCAACAACTTGACCTTGTCAGGATCAAGATTGTTTTGACACGGGCCCGCAAAGCGAGATGTAAAGCCCTAAAGCGCATCGTGCACCTGTGAAAAAGAAAAATATCAACATACCGCTATAATATTAGGTTCGTCAAGGGGAGCCAAAGCAAGAATGTCAACTATATAACTTCCATGCCACGGATCCAAGGAACCCGACGGAAGCAGAGTCATTAGAGGTGCTCCACACGCCTGGACACACACCCGATTCCATCTCTTTGCATCTTGGCTCTCTGAAAGATGTTCACCTGCTTTCTCGCAACAGCGTCATGTCTAGACACGACGTACACCGCAGCTCGATCTCGGCTGCGATTTCATGCAAGTTTGGGCGCTGTGAACACCTAGCATGCTCGCACATCGACCCGCCCAGGTACTACCCAGCCGAGAATCGAATATTCACCGGGGATCTAATCTATCCCGGATGCTGGGCTCGAAACTTTATCTCTCAGATACCTCGCGACTTCCCGCAGATGTCTGTAAGCCTTCTCCAAGCCGAAGAGCAAGGCACCCGAATAGGTAGAGCTCCAGTCGGCAAACCCAAGCTCCTCCAGGAAACATCTTCCTCTTCCTCCCTGGCAGCCGGCTCGAGGAGTTTGAGGAGAGCCTTTGCAAGCTGAAGGCTTTCCTGCTCGAGAAGCCTGCAGGCAGTCGGGCCAGCAATACTCGCACTCCTCCCTGTATACACTAGGGGCCTTAATAATTGGAATAGGGCTCCTTTAAAGGGATCTATAAGAGCTGCAAAAAAGGATCTAGAGGTATAGGGGCCTTAATAATAAGAAGAATAGAGTTTTGGGGCCCATCATACTATAATCATGATAAGGAAGCCCCGCAATAGTATTGGCGATTATGTAGGCCCTATATTATACTTGCATTCGAGACTCACAAGGAGGCAGCTTCAACATCTTCGTCCCAGGAAGTACGGCTTAGCATAGGACTTCACACCTCGAAGCTAGTGCACCAGCCAACTCAAAGAAACCAGGCGATAGGTTCAACTCCCATGTCTGCAAGCCGTGATGGGAAGAAGGCATGCGTACAACTTGCAGTCGAGTCGGCCAAGAAGGATCACTCAAGAAACGGCATCGAATAGTCAGCTTTTCAGCAGTCCACAAGTCAACAACCAGTGACTCAGCGACTGTCTGCCCGAAAAGTCGGATTAGCGATAAATAGTATACAAAAATATAAAATATGTGTGTGTGTATATATATATATATCGCCTTGCTACCGTGGAGCCTTGGTCAGGCGTCCTCCTCAGCTGTGGCCACATGACACCTGCCTTGAAGGCAGGTGTCCCGAGTTAGTTGCCGAGTCGCCGTGGGTTTCCGTCTCGTGGTATTACAAGTATTAATCATTGCTATTGTTTCCATGATTTCCATTGCAGCTGCTTTTTGTTGTTATTGCTATCATTTAACACCATTACAGAAACCAACGATTCCTGGAGCCTTTTGAGTCAGAGGACGGGTCAACGAGGCCTGCGGCAGCAAGCTTGTGTGTGGGTTAAGGGCTTAGGGTCTTCTTGAACCCATAAAGCCTGCCTCTTTGGGGCTCCTTGTTTTCCGTTATGATTTCCACAGATAAATCACATAAATCCTTAAATAGTAGGTTCTTTCGTGTGAGGCAGGGTTTAGTCAATGAAAGCCCTGCTTGGACCTGTTTGGAATCGGTTGGGGTGCCTGTATGGTTTGAGCTGCAATAAACCCACTATTCAAAACCCTAGCGCCCCCAGAATAGACCCCAGAAGGCAGAGAAGTTGGAGGAACTCCATACGCTCCTGGAAGCCATGAGAAGTGGAGCCTCGGTGTCATACATTTTTTCCACAGCGCTTTCTAGCAGTAGAGTAGGTAACCTTTAGCCTTTATGGGGGTATTACAATCCCAATTTACTCCCAAAGCTTAACCTTCAGTTCCCAAAGATACTGGACAAGTAGGGCTTTCTGGTCTCGAAACTTTGGGGTGTAATTAGAGTGTGTCTCGGAGGGTGATCATCATCAGTTCTGCAGCGAAAGCCCTGGACTCATAGCCGCACATCCCAAGCTTCAAAGCCCCAAAACTCTGAGAATCGAAACGGAGCAGGGGAGGCCCGCGGTCGCGCCGAGAGCTCCGCCCTTGCTCCCGAGCCAGCCCCTTGGCTCAACCATCCCGCAACAACGGGCAAGGCGATTGTTGCCTTTATGCTTGCCATGACTACTAGAACCGTTGTGGTCATACGGGCCAACAGTACTACAGCACCGCTGCTTCTGGCAACAGCGACGGCCGCGATGACGACAATATTATCCACATATAATGTGTGGGCTGTGGCTGCGGCTGCTGCTGCTGCTGCTCATTCGCCTCTCTTGCTGCTCCTGCTTCTGCGCCTGCAACTGCTATACTGCGACCGGTTGCGTCTCTACACTGCTGCAGCAACCAGAAGTAGACAGCTCGTTTATCCATCATCGACATCGTCATCGTTGTCATCATCACGGCACTCAGGAAAAGCCCTTGTGTATGCGAGCCTCATAATCACATTGAGCCTTGATGAAGCATTATTCTGTTGTCGGTGTGCTATTCTTACATAGGCCGGCATTCGTTCCGCCAGTTTGGACTCAAACAACTACATCATAACAGATGCCCGGCGGGCGGATGCCGTGGCGCCCAACCAAGCTCGAAGCCCGTTTATTTGTGCGCCTTCCGGCTATGATGTCTCTAAGAACCTGCCGAGCATTTCTGGCCTCCTCTACTTTCGCTGTCGCATAAACCCGTAGGGCCTTGGGCGGGGACCCCAACCACAACAGATGCTGAGAGGCAGACGAAATAAACACAACCCAAGTGTTTCGGGGTGGCGACTGGACACCAAGTTTGTCAAACCAGTGTCAGCGGCTTCCGACATCCCGTGATGCCAAGAAGCGCGGAAGAATATCAGCACACATGTACATCAGTGAAGTTCTGTTGTCCTGACAGAGCGAGAGCGCCAGAATAAACGGCAGCTTCGCTTTGGCACAGCTTGAGGTGACTTCCTTCCAGACGCCTTGCTTCACCCTGATGTGTCGCACTGCCGACGTTCCGGCCATGGCGTGAAAGGAGGGATCTCGGACTGGCGCAGTTGCAGTGCAGAAGCTGGCAGAAGTCCGAGTCGATTTCCAGGACAGCATAAGGCTCCAAGGGAGTGCAGTTATCGCCCCGTCACGAGCTTCAGTTTCAGCAGGAGGTCGTGAGTGTGGGCCGAAGCAATGCTCTTGCGGCCCAAAGTATGGCAGTAGGATGCAAGAGGCCCACAAGTCTCCCTGCGAAGCACAGGCAGGAAAACAACAGAGAGGTATGACAGCGACTTTAGTTTAGTTACGCGACTTTCCCCCTGGATGTTCGTAGCACGTATCTCTTGAACGCCGGGACAATGAGGCAGCAGCGCTGGATCTTATCACTTTGGTTCTGCACCTCCATGAAAGCATTGGGCGATAGTTTGGGCTGTGTCGTTCTGCATCCTGTAGCCGCGCTGGCTTATGTTGCAGAGGCTAGGTTCAAGAGCCGCGGCTCCACCCACAGTGCCGTGAGCAGTGAGCAGCAATGATGACACGGAAGATGTAATTCGTGCCGGCCAAAGGCTATTGCCCTGAAAGCCGAAGTATTCCTGTAGCCGGAAACTCACTTTCGTAGCTGTCAGCAACTTCCACACGTTGCAGAAAACAAGCCTTGATGTCTCTTCACATGCTGTATCGTGTCACTGCACAAGAAGGACAGAGTTCAGGCGCGGCCCGCTCGCAGCTGGAACGATCTATCGGGTGTTATTATGTCGGTTTGGGTTCTCGGCACTCTGGTTTCAGGGTTATTCGCGGCCCCGTGCATCCTGTGGGGGCTCAGAAACTTGCCGGCCGCCAGCACCTGCAGCCATGTTGGGTCAGCCTTCAAAGAGAGCAAATGAGCGGTGTTGTCAGCAGAGCAGGACAGCATGTGTGTGCTTGGGTGGGCTTCTTGCAAGCCAATAAGTTCAACAGCGAGCAACTCGGGTTCTCAGCTTAAGCAGCAGTCTAGTCCGTGAATCCTGGCCATGAGCAAGCGGAAGCACGACGACTCCAATGGCCAAGATAGCTGGGACGATCTTGTGCTCGAATTCAGCTCTGGCGACTCCATGCCAGTTTGCTCTGTGCCTTTGCGCATGTGCTCCCCAGTGTTCAACAGCATGCTTTCCTCGGGAATGAGGGAGGCCCAGCAAAGAACTATTCGGGTGGAGGTGGCGACGAAGGAGGAGTTCGACTGCTTTTACAGCTTGCTAAAGCCAGGCGCCTTCAGCCCTGACAAAATCACACATGACAACGTGGATGCACTGCTCACCATCAGCCTGTATTACCAAGTTGGTTTCCTCAGAGATGCTTGCGAGGCTAAGCTTCTCCGTCTTCCAGCCACAGTGGATCGGTTTCTCCAAGCTGAGAAGATGGGACTAAAGAGGCAGCAGTCCCGCTGTGCCCATGAGCTTGCACAGCTTTGCACTGAAGAAGACTTGAAACGACTGCAAGAAGCGTCGTCTGACGCGCTGATGGCAGTGGCTACTGCAATGCGACGATTGCTTCAGGAGGAGGGGTTCTTGACACGGAAGTCTGGGGTCGGGCTATAGGGGCTAGATCATGACCAACACAATGTTGCAGGTTCCTTATTCTTATAGCAAGAGTATAATATGCGTACCCCAACACCCTGTTCTGATTCATAAGGCCCCTGCATGAATCCGCAGCCCTGAGGACGACATCGACCGCATCCTGAGGTCCGCCACGCTTGATTTGCGGGTCCGGCGGGGGCCAGATTGGAAGTGGCAGAACCAGGAGGGCGGGTCCAGTGCAGCGCCGTGCAGGGAAGGGATTGCCTATAACTCCGAGAGTAGGATATACATGACCACAAGTTGTAGTACAAGTAGTAAGTCGTCATATGCACGCCATGATGTTGATGACGGTGATGACGTGTAGGTTGGTAGGCTCATTACCATGGAGGTCGCTGCACCGATACTGGTCGTGCTTGGGGATGGTGATATTGTTGGCATGCAAGATGCTTGCATCATGATGGTGGGGTATTGGTGCTCCTAATAGACTAACATTGCCATTGGCGTGCCGCTGCTGCTGCTGTTGTTGCCGCCGCCGCCGCTGCCGGTGATGGGACTTCTGGTCAGGGTCGGGATAAGGATTTGCACATTTACCGCTACTGCTACGCACCTCGTCCTGCTCCAGCTGCCCCAGCTCCAAGTTACAAGTTACTCTTGCAACGCAGCGAAGTTGCACAGGTTTAGTTTCCCGGACTAACACCTATTTCAACCGACCGCTCTGAAATGTAAACCCCAAAGATTCAATCCCACAAACTGCACCACCACTCCGCAAGTTTCGCTTTCACCTCTTGCTCTTACAGCTGATCTGAGGTGAAGCCGGGTCCCGAGTCCCTTGTATGAATACTGTACTGCAGCTCAACTGAGAGCCCTAAACCTCAATGCGTGTCTGCTGCGTGCGAGCGTGCGACTCAAAAAAAACCCTCAATCTTGCAGGACGGCGGAGGCTTTGGCATGACCGCCATAAGCGAGCCGGAGCGTCCTCGCCCTCCGGGCTGGGTAGTAGTTAACTGGGATGATGGATCTACTGGGCACTATCGGGTGGGTGCAGAGGGCAAGTATGACCTTATGGTTCTTGGCAGAGTTGATGCTATAGTGGTGGAGGGAGCTGGTGGTGTTGGCAGCCAATGCAATGGGCGCTACAACTTGAATGGGAGCTTCGCTGGCAAGCCAATGTTCAAGAAAGACGGTGGATCCGCCATTATATACTTTTCAGGCCCAGCATTGAAAATTCTAACACTGCAAACACGTATATAGTTACTCGTCATGATAACATAGCTCTCACTGCGATAGTCTCCGTAGCAATCATGGCAAACATAAGGGTGAGAACAAGAAAGCCACCATGTAACACTAACAACAGAAGATAAGATGGCCAAATAGTTCATCTAGTACGACCGAAGTGAGTTAGAAGGTCTTAAATGACCCTTATTCCTGCTTACAACGCCTGCAGGATGTTGGAAAATCAACTACCAGGCTGGCAAGTGCCAACAATATCTTGCATGTGTCAGCTTTGCACACTGTTCCCCAGGGCTTATAAGGTTTAACTCAGTTTCCAACCTGCCTCCATACAGCCGTCACCGGCGTCGGCTACCAAACAACGACATCTTGTGGAGTCTTGCAGTTCTGACGTTGAAAGGGTTTGAGCAGTTCACAGACTTTTGTCGCAACAACCTTGTTGTTACTGTCCGGCACAGTTGTGGTGACACTGCCTGCGCTGCTACCGTTTGTTAATGGGTGATCGGGTCAGGAAGCCAAAGCAACTGAGACATGATAACTGGAAGACACTAAGCGCAGAGGCTAGGAAGGAAGCTTGTGAAGGATTTCCGCGGGCTTTCAGCCAGAATGATTGAATAAAGTCTCCGTGCCGAACTGGAACAGCAGCGTCGGGTCATAGAGCTTCAAAGACTTTCATGCCCAGTCAAAACACACCGCAGTAGGGGTTGAACCTCAACTTGGCATTCCTTCCCCTTCGCACGTAAGAGTGGCTTCACGTGAACCTAGAAGTTCAGAAGCATTGATGAAAGTGCTTTGGGCAATGTTTCTGGGAATTAGACTCGAAGCTTACCTCTGGATAGCTTGGATCCGAAGTTGAGCAGCTGAGCATCCCAACCGAAACCAGGTTCAGAGGTGATGCTTTAGCAACGCAAGTGCACTTGTGGATTTAGGGGTCCAAATGGTTCAGTTCAGGGTGTAAGGAGGGCGCCAAATATCAGCTCAGTATGGCTTGCTTGTAGGCATGGCGCCAGCTAAGAGTGCAACAGTACCCCCTGAAACAAACCCCGAGGGTGCGTTCCCTGGTCAAGAGTACCTGTGCTCCAACTCTATCGATCAATTTACCTCACCTCACAACTACAACCTGAAGCATCCAGATGTCTTGGCAAGGACGCCACTGACGGCTGGTACTACTGCTATCCGAACTGTGACGCGACCACGCCCCCGGTCGGGCTATGGTCAACTGAAGGCTATGGAGCCGGGGCAGATCCTCCCCCGACACTGCGACTTCTGCAAGACGAGGAGTCTTCACCATCTGGCTGACTGCACCTCGGTTGGGATTCAGAGTCTACGACTACGAATAACCTCATCAAACTTCGGATATTCCTCTATATGATACTAAGACCCAGGCCAACATAGCACAACAAGTACACCTGCAGAACAATGGGATGTTCATGTTAAGATGCTATACCCCTGGAGCTACAACTACTTTTTTGAGGCCTTCAGTCGAGTCCTGGAACTTTGGTCCGCTTTTGGTTGCGCTTTCCCATTACTACTGAGGCTACTTTGTAGGAACCCCCATTAAGGGATCTACTTTTTGGATCCTCCCGGGGGTCTGGGTTGTCTTGCGGAGTTACAGGAGACCATGGCTGCTGCCTTTGGCGCAGGTGGACCTCTGCTGCAAGCGTGGCCAAACGTGGCCGTGCCCCGTGCAGTGCAGTGACGAGTGGAAAAGGTGGAGCGCCCATCGCTGCCTCTGAAATCCCGCCTAACTACCTACAGTCTCCATTGTAGTGTCTTTTCGTGGTGACCTTGTAGGGTCCTAAATATAGAAACGGCTAACCAAAAAAGGGAGCTGCAATGGAGACTCTTGGTAAGCTTAAACTCTGAAGATCCAGAAACCCCGGAGCCGCCAAACCCATTTTCCCCTGAACCTCTGAACCCTACGGTTGATGATATAAACCCTGCATGACCCATAACAAGGAATCTACCATAATTCCCATAGTCTAGGGTCATTAAGGCAATGCAGGATTTACATCATCAACCGGTTGATTATATAAATCCTGCATTACCATGGCTGTTTAATATCGGTACGGTGCGGTATTGCCTTGCCGCGGTGTGTTGCGGTATGTATTCCGCGGTATTGCGGGCTCACGGTTCTGTGCGGTGCGGTATGCCCACCCCTCCACCCCTCCACCGCTCAGCCTTTCCCCCCTCCCCACCCCCATCGCTCCACCTCCTCCCTCTCCCCCCTCCACCACCTCCTCCCTCCACCCCCTCCACCCCTCCCACCTCCCTCGCTCCACTCCTCTACACCACCCCCACCCCTCCACCCCTCCTCCACCCCTCCAGCCTTCCTCCACCCCACCCCTTCCTCCATTTATACTATATGACTATAACTATACATCGTAGATAGCCCTTAACCCAGGGACTCCAATATCCCTGAATTAAGGAATATTCCTTAAATCATATTTGGGTTCCTACTATAATTTGAGGTATATTCCTTAATTGAGGGATATTGGAGTCCCTGGGAACATGACTCCTACTGAAGACTTGCAGGGCGGGTACCCAACCTAAACTCCAGACTGCCATCCGGGTTCGGCAACCGAAGCATGAGTCCTCGGGTCACCTTCGTGCCGGTGTTTAGAAGTATAGGGCTAGGGCATGTTATCCCCACGGCTCTAAGGACTGAGATTTTGAGGCTTTTGGGCCTAAAGACCATAGCATATAAGGCGTTTGGGCCATTTTGAGCCTTAGAGTATGGGTTAGGATGTTGCAGTTGGGGTCGGGTCCGGCAAGGCATTGCGCTTATGGGCTCTCGAGGCTCAGTAACTAGTGAGAACTTCTCCCCGCGAAAGCAGTGCGTTTGACTATGAACGCAGCGGCCTGTGCAGGAATTCGATGGAACTTTGTGAGCGAGACAGCAGGTGAGGACAAGCCCTTGTGGCTTTAGCAACTGTTTCTTCTGCCTTGGGAAGGCCTAGAGTCGACGAACATTTCCTCGCGAAGTGCTTCCAAGGTTGTGCAGGAGAACCTGCATGCAAGTGCAGGGGAGGAAAGGTACTTAGCAGAGCCCACTCGTAGGCCTGGATTGTGGCACCTATTCAGCAGCAGCGCCAGCAGGTCTTTGTATTTGTGTCTGGGGTGAACAGCTGCAGACGACTCTGACTGGTACGCAGGGGTTCAAGGCTTAAGCCTCCTGTGCTGACAGCATCAGTGACCGAAAGTAACAGATTTAGTAACAGGCATAGGCAAGGGTTTCGGGAATGCATTGGATGGGGTTTGACATCATCGCCATCTCGGAGACATCCTCAGCAGCAGCTACGATGTCATGAAGATGGTTGAGTCGTTGCTGTGAAGATATTCTTGGGAATTCGGGCGAGTTATCTTCAGCACATGCAGAACTCCAGACCAATGTTTGACCGAGCATGAACAAGCAAGCCACACAACTGGCCCCAGGTTCCAAGTCCGTCCTACATAATTTCGTTGACTGAATGGCCTGTCTAAAGCGGCTCTCGTGCTCGCGACCAGCAGTGTAAGACAGTGTAGGCAGTTGGTCAGTTAGTTGCCTTGACCTGAACCAGAGCTTGTGTTGCCCATCGAATGTCTGAGGTTCGCCTCCTTAGGGCTCCGCACATGCAACCGACTGCTGAGTTTCGTTGTCAAGACATGTCGCCGCCAGAAGCACTGCATGGAAACCAACTTGGAAGCAGCGCTAGACCCAAGGATGTTCAGTATGGGACGACGCAACTTGTCGGTGGTCTCTGTTGCCAGTTTCGTGACTTGCTAGAGATCCAGCCGAATCTAGCCAGACCACAGTGAGCAATCACAATAGCTAGTGCAGACCGCGCCAAGAAAATGCCGTCCACATTGCACGAAATATGCTCCACCTCCACAGCTTCAAACTTCGGTAATTCTGCCTGATGGTCGCATGGCCACCATAGCAAGCTCATGTCGGAGCGGAAGAGGCAAGGAACGCAGGCACGTGACAGTCTCCAATCAGCTGCCATTGCTTGAGGAAGGTGTCCAGACCGTTTCAGGGAAAACTACAGGTGGTTTGTCAGGAACCCCCAAAGCCCTATTCTACTGATTAAGGCCCATACATTATGTTCATAGCAGATTTCGGGAGGCAGCAGAGTGGTCTCCTCGAGCTCGAAGTAGGTCAGTGTAGTTCCCCAGCTCCCCCTCAACACCATCAGCAAGGTATTGACCTCCTGTCACAGAGCTTGTCCACATGTGATGCATCTCCCGCAAATTCAGCTTCAAAGCTCTCAATCTGCTCCGCGAGCATTCATGGCAGTGTGATTGGTGATTCCCCGTACATCAAAGCCCGCTTTCTTCAACCTACACAGGTCACTGTGACCGTGCCTGGTGGCGCACCTCCGGGGACGGTGCTGGCAGTACCGATTCGAGGCCGTGCAGCACAACTCACTTACGGGTTAGGACTATTAGGTCCATTAGGGTTTCAACTTTGGGGTTTCGGGTTGAGGGCTCGGTTTGGTACCGGGTCTGTGCATCTCGTGACAACGCTTATGGCACATGTTTCCTTTCTGCATTGGGTTTCGGGGCAACCCCCGAGCCCGAAACCCGAGGCCTGTCTAAACCCGACCCGAGGTCGATAGCCTTCGAACCTCAACTTCCATAGCGGGGTATTTGGGACCCAAAGCTTAATGACATAGGTGTGTAGAGTTTATAGGGGTGTAGGTTTTGGGGCTTATAGAGCCTGTCCTCACTTGGCCCTAGCCCCCCAGCAGAATCAGAAGTGTGGCCGCACCCCGTGCACAATGATTCTGCTGTAACCGTTACAGCAACACCGTACAAATGCAGTGGTAAACATTGCGCAATGCACTTGCAGGCATGGGGAAGCCAAGTAAAATCCAGGCAACGGAGCCCGTCGTTTCTGTGCTGGCGGCCCTGTGCACCACTGTCTTTCTGGTCCACCCGAAGTAAAAGGTATTGCTTGCACGCCTTGCAACCCTTGCAATGAATCCTTGATATGCTGCTAGAGCAGCCACTCCTGGAATCAATTGACCCTCGTCGCACCCCAGTGCTTCCCTGCAGGTGGTGAAGATGTGCTGAAGGTCCCTTGAAGCTTTGTGATTGAATTCCAAAATACAAGTAGTATCGGCTTTGAAGGGATCCAGACGTTGCTGTTTCTACAGCTAAGCTAGAGACATCCAGGTTTTGCTCTACACAATTCGTGTTCGTGTCCATGGGGTTCTTCGGCTTCTACATGTAAGTTGTGGAGTGTGGCCGGGGTCAATCTAGCAAAGCAGACTAATGGAAAATGAGCTATGATGATTGAGAACTGTAGGTCTCGTCGTCGCCTTGTGGTCTCTGGGCCCGTGTGTTCAGGCACTCAAGACCTTTTTTGCGTCCATTCACGTGCCCCCATCGTGAGAGGTGCGTGTACCAGACGGGTGCGGCGCAGGCCAGGAACAATCAGTTCATTTCGGAGAGGTCAAGATCACACTTTGCTCTTTCTCTCTTCACGTCCCTCTCTCACCTTCCCTGTCAATCTCCCTTTCTTTCTTCCGGATTGCAACAGTCGCTCATTGACTCCGCCAGCTGTGAGAACCAGGGTCAGGCCCAGGGTTCTCGAGGCACCGGCACTTTCTACGATTAACTCCCTGGAAGCTAGATTTCAATTCATTGTGAGGGGTCATTGAGGCATCCTTTGGGAAGGTGCCGGTCTGAGTTTCCGACGACTGAAGCAGCAGTACAGTAGGCTCTTTCCCTTAAGCTTTGAAGCTTTCCGACCACAGAACTCAGCCTGGCTCAAGATGAGGCACCACTTCTGGCACTTACAAAATTTGCTTCGCAGGTCTCGGGACTGTGTTTGCGCTTCAATGTCGCAGATGGTTTCATGCGCTGCATAGTTCGATGCATTCCTGGCAAATCTTCATTGCTGGCATACATGGAGTGATCCGTCTGCCGCAGGCATCCAATGCTGCAAGACATCGTGCACGGTTGACGCTGCTTGTCATCAACGTCGGTGTCGCCACGGTGAACTATCAGATATTTGCAGATTTGAAGATGTACCTTGCGCCCATCGTCCCGATTGCCTTTGTCGGCATCTGTCCGGCATCTTTTCTGGCCTCTTATCTGCGCAGGCATCTTCCAGACAAGGGGTTTCCTCACGTACTGTACGATGCCCAGCAGAGCAACATGCTTATGCAGATTCTCATTTTCTTGGTACTAACGTTCTACATGTTTCCGCTGCTACTGTTTGACGGCGATTGTCAAGCCATTGCCGACAGCTTGGTGGTGGGCGTGCTGGCATACATAACAGCTTACTTCCCCTTGCTCGAAAGACACACCTACCTTACTTGCCTTGTTGGTATCTATGCGGTCGTTGCCAGCATGAAAACGATCTTTTCGGATGCCTCCTTCACGAAGGGAGTGAGGCACATGCTGCTTCAAAACTGCGCTTATGCAATCCTCAGCCGCTCGCTCGTCTACATGCTTGAGTCGCGGCGTGTGATCCCCTCATCTCCAGTACGGTCTTTCAGCCTTGCAAGGCTCAGGAAAACTCATCTGAGAAGGGTGTGGGCAAACAAAGAACTGTTCGGTCAGCTCCTCTTTCTTTATCACTGCCGGATTGACCTTGAAATGGATAGCAGGATCGTGCTCAGAATTGTGGAGTTCCTGCGCCTCCAGGACGACCTTGTTCGGGAAGATGTCCATCACTTGAGACTACTTTTCGCGACATCCTCGGAAGCCACTTGTTTGGGAGCCACCGGCTTGGCAGGCTCTGAATCCAGTTCGCAAGCAAAGATGTCAAAGCCATCTATGCAAGCAATGAGACGGCGCACTCCAGACTATGGAGGCGTCGCATGAGGGCTTCAAGAGCGTTTCTACCTGATTTTCCCACTCTGCCTAGGGCCTAGGTCTGCGCTGCGTGTTTAGACTGACTGCGCGGATGGGTGATCCTCGTCCCTGCGCATTGTCGGCGGTGGTACATGCTCTGCAAATGCTTGGCATTGTGTCATTATACTTTGTTGTATTATATTTCTCAGTATAGTAATTTTGCTAGCCAAAATCATACGGTAAGATCTTATATTGCATGATTCTGGAACACTGAATGGTATCGTGCCTGCTGGTACTCGTGGAACTCGCATAGATACCCAAGGGTGCGGAACCGTTCAAACTGCTGTAGTGAAATAAATATTGGGCCAACCAACCGCAGACCCTTGCAAATGATTGCAGGCTCCACCCTGCTCCTGACAAAAGCAGATGGAGCAAATCAGCAACTTGCCGCAAGCTTTTGCAGCCAACATGCATGTAGTCTAGCGTGAGACATGTACCAAAAACCTTGACAAGCAGCAACGTCAATGTAGAAGCCATATTCACAGTATTACATCAAAGTGTCTCTTTCAAGAATTCCACGGAACACTGTACATCCAGTTTTTCGTATATACTGACCTACTGTAAGGAGATGAAGAACTCAGGCATTCAGAGTATCAGGCCGTCGTGATCGGGCTCCAAAAGGTACGGCGAAGGTCTATACTTATGGGGTTGTAGACAGTCCGTGATGCGGGTCTCGGGGCAGGGCTTTGCAAAACGTGTGCCTTGCTTGACATGTGGTGCTCTTGCGACACTGCTCGTGTGCGGCTTGCACCGTCCTCTTATCTAAGGTGGGCTATGTCCGTGACTGCGCTGCAGATGGCAGGGATGTCTGAAGGGTTCACAGAAATTCGCAGCCGGCGATGCTTCTAATTCCACTGCACAAGCCCAAAGGTCGGGATGATAGTGCCGGCCGAGGATGCGGAGGCCTTCGTTTCTCAGTGGCAGACAGTAACATCAACCTTGCCAGGCGTGAACTTAACGAAGTCGCCCTCACACTTGGCCTTGAAGCACGGAAGATGACATATTATCAACAGTTGAACCTAGACCCTCTTGTTTTGGGATTTCCTGGCTGAAAGAGAGGGTATGAGAGGGTAGGTAAGCTGCATGTGATCTGGGAATGCCAGGCTGAAGACGAAGTCAGCGGCTTCGGTGAAAATGTCGGCAACAACACCAGTGTGAATGGTGTGGACGGTGCAGACGAGGAGGCTCGTATGTGCTTTGCGCAAGCAGCTGCACGACCATCCCTCTGCTTCTATGTGTCATGTTCATATACATTGTATATGTACGTGCATGCATGCATGCATGCATGCATGCATGCATGCATGCATGCATGCATGCATGCATGCATTCAACACTTCGTGCACACAGATGAGCGAGCAAGTCCTTATCGCCACCGTTTGCTTGATTTTTGCATAAATTGAAATAAGCAAGTACATGTCAGGGTCCGACAACTTCTAGCCTACATCTTACGGCCCCTCATACATGACTGTAGTGTTTCTCTCGCTTTGCATAGCTAACTACCGGTCGACGTCACCGTTCGTCCTGGCCACATGGCCGCACAAAGCCATGCATCTATCCAATTGGGCTCAGCCGCCGTCCGCATGGCATATCCTAAGTGTCCAACTGAAAGCCTTGGAAAATGAGGGGTCCCGGGAAACATAGTTGCAGGACATGCGCACGGAAGAGCAGCGCCAAAAGGAGCTAGAGAAGGCCCATGCGAAAGGGCGTGGGGGTCTTCGGGATTTGTTGGAGGATGGCTTCGTCACACCTGGGGCTTAGGCTTGTGTCGATGTTGGGCTTTAAGTGCTGGCTAAGGCGATTTTGCATGAGATTTAGCCGAGCTTCCAGCTGTGTTTGCAGCAGAATGCTTCCATGCAAGTGCTGCAGATTTTTTTGTTTTATGAAGCCGCGGGTAGAAGCCGAGTCGACGCACTCTCGAAGTCTACATCCTGAACCGAGCCCTGACCTCGAAACGATAAGCATCAGTTTCGTGCAGCTCCAGGAATGGTTGCAGCAGCAACAGGCTGGCAAGATTCTGCAATTTCTCGTTCGAAGAGTTGCCATGTTCTCGGCTGCGATGCCCATTGAACATTGCACAGACTACTATGACTATACTGTTTTGGGGGTTCCTTATTACATTACATAAAGGTATAATGTGCCCCGAAACCCTACGTATTCTAATTATTAAGGCCCCTATATATAGCTTGCATGCCACTCCTCGCAGGTCATTCTGGAGATCTGGCAATGCCCTCATTCTCGGTAGGAAAAGGCAGCTTTCCAAAGCCCGGGCACCCTAGCCGAACATCTAAACCCTTGTGATTGGGACCAGTACGCCCAGCGGAAACACCGCTTTCGACTTACCTGCAAGGCCGAAAAAGGAGCCTTAAAAAAAGAAACCTTTGTGATTGTGTTGCAGGCAGACCTTGAGCTCCGACGACTCAAAAAGTCATTGAGTCCTTTGAGAGCACCTCAGAATCGCGATCAAAGAGAACCTAGACTTAGCCAGAATGTATGAAGCCTGGCTGGGTCCTTCTATTCCTCAACACTCCCACATTAGAGGTTGTCCTTTGCGGTCCAAGTTGGGCTCGCTTGAACACCGAAAGAGCTGCAGTAGCGTTTGCCATCCACAGGTGGGCGTGCAATCGCCAGAAAAGAAAGCGGCCGAGCGGTCGAAGGCTGGACGGGTCACAGACTGTATGCAAGCACGCACGTTGCTACTGCTGTTGTTGTTGGTGCTGCTGCTGCTGCAGCTGATACCGCCGCGGCTGCTGCTGCTGCTGCTGCTGATAATATTGATGCCGTCGTCGTCCTCCCCCAAGTCGTTGTCGATGCTGCTGCTGTTGTTGCTGCTATTGTTGTGAGATGTCACGAGTACCACATCTAATACATGCATTATCTTATGATACTGTTGTAGTCTTCTTAATGGTGGAGGTGGCTCGTATGGTGGAGGTGGCTCGTTGTGGCAGTTGCTTCTGATTGTGGTTGTGACAGTTGTTGTTTGTTTGCCCCTGCAGCTGTTGTTGCGGCCGTAAAAGTTTTGAGGTAAATCTTGTTTTGCTTGACGCATTCCCCTGTGAAGGTTTCCCTGTGTTAAGGATGTAGGCTTAATTTGAATCCTGGTGGTGTGGTGCACGTTGCAGGCTGCAGCATTTAGTGTGTCGGCTCGTGTAGAGTCTGTAAGGCTTGCATAGACCAGGTTTCGATTTCCAGATGGAAACCAGGTATGGTTCTGCATGTGTACATGCATACATACACAAACATATGCACGCCGCTTTTCAGATGCACCTCCTTGTCGAGTGACGGGTGGCCCATGTGTGTGTGTGTGTGTGTGTGTGTGTGTGTGTGTGTCTGTCTGTGTGTGTGTGTGTGTGTGTGTGTCTGTCTGTGTGTGTGTGTGTGTCTGTCTGTGTGTGTGTGTGTGTGTCTGTCTGTGTGTGTGTGTGTGTGTCTGTCTGTGTGTGTGTCTGTCTGTGTGTGTGTGTGTCTGTGTGTGTGTGTGTCTCTGTCTGTCTCTGTCTCTGTGTGTCTGTCTCTGTCTCTGTGTGTCTGTCTCTGTCTGTGTGTCTCTGTCTGTCTGTCTCTGTCTGTCTGTCTCTGTCTGTCTGTCTCTGTCTGTCTGTCTCTGTCTGTCTGTCTCTGTCTGTCTGTCTCTGACTGTCTGTCTCTGTCTCTGTCTGTGTCTGTGTCTCTGTCTTCGTCTCTGTCTGTGTGTGTGTCTCGCTCTCTCTCTCTCTCTCTCTCTCTCTCTTTGTGCCTTGGTCTTTGTTGTGTGTGTGTGTCTTTGTGTTTGTTAGCTGTTAGCTTGTGTCCGGCAGACATGGACAGGAGCCTGCTCCCGAAGAAGCCATCGAGCAACCTGTTGAGCCACCTTCATCCGCCTTCACAGTGACCTGGCCCGTCGACCGAAACCAGCTGGAAAGAAATAGGTGGTGTCCTGACATCTATATCAATTGATCCTTGAGCGGACAAGCATGAGAGGCGGCACAAGAAGAAAAGAGAGCGAGAGGGCTCAGTACATGCAAGCAAAAGCACGAGAGAACGAGAGACTACAAGAGACGGAAACACACGGACTCGCAGACACACAGACACAGGCACAAAGACCCACAGATGTACGCGGACACACAGGACACAGACACAGACAGATGCAGAGCGAGAGAGACGAGAGAGACAGACATATTTTAACCACGCACGGCGCGCACACGCACAACGCAAAGACGGAGACAATGAGATGGTTGGACACTTAGGCAAGGTGACACGTAAACTCAGCACACACACGAACATCCGCGCGCCAGTCCAAGTCTTTGTCGCCGCATGCTGAGTGGCTCCCCTTCTCTAGACGAGTATGTGCTGTTTGGTTTCGGCCTCAGTTTGCCGCGCATATAACTCCACCCAGGTGCGGATGGAGACGACTGTGCCCGTGGCAGCAGATTTCGGTTCTTGTTTCTCGGGACCGGGGTGCTCAGTGGGGCTAAAGTGGAACAGTACGCCTTAGGACGTAGGAGTTCAGTTCTGGGAAGCAGGTGCAGCTTGATATTTGGCGCTTACCAGGCTCGTAATTAGCCATGCTGTCCCTGCGCTAGCCGTTTGCGGCAGACCGTCTTGTCACCTCGGCTAGAAGTAGTGATTCGCACCTACTTCATTTGATGCGGGTAAGGTTGGCACCATCGACATCGTTGCATCTTGCCGGCACAGTATCGGGAGAGAAGCTTGAAAGGGAGGAGACACTTCGACCCGTAGTGTGTCCTGAACCAGTTGAGCCGGGTTTTGCCTGCTTCCGTTCCTCAAGCCATCATGCTTTCCGAACAAGTGATGCCCAATGGAAGCCTACCAAGAGCATACGCTCTGCTGCGGCCCGATAAATCAGAATGGGGTTCTTAAATGTTAAAAGGGTCAATAATAATATGAGGGTTGCGTATTAAGGCTTAAAATAACTCGAAAAGGGCTTCCGTGTATAGTATGCTATAAGTAGAATAAGGAACCCCCCAAATCCT